TTTTCCCCATTTTCATCTGGCTGAGATTACGCTGTTTATGCGCGAGTTAATTTCTTCTAGAAAGTAACAATGCAGATCGTTCCGCGATCACTGAGATTGCTCGGCACTAGACGCGAGAGGAAAGAATCGACTTTACAGCGGAGAATAAGAATCGCTTTTTAACCAAGAACGAACGATGAAGAAGAAAAGAACCGCGAGGAGAGCGGTCAACGAGGAAAAATACACAGGGAGAAGACGAAGAAAAAATTCGTTACACAATGGAAAGTGTTCGTCATGAAAGGGTATCTGGTGAACTAGACCGCGAACAAGCGTAGCTCTTTCAAGGCCACGAAGAAAGAGCAGAAGTTGCAACGTTCAGATTTCTTCGAACCGGTTTCCTTCGAAAGGTGGGACGCGTACTCGCGCGTATCCACGGTGGACGTAAGCGTTAAAGGGCCAATCAGGCTGCTGTCATTTCTATCGAAAATCGAGAGAAAAAAAAGGCATGATGCGCGGCCGCGATCTGGATATTACCATTTCCAGAGGCCGGCCCCGAGTAGCCGTTATACTCTTTCGACGAGAGAACGCTTTTTGCTCGTTCGCTTTCTTCTGAGCCGAGCGATCCAAGTGAATTGACCCGTTGAGCCTTGTTATCGTTTATTGCCGTTTTGCAGAAATTACGGTGCTATTAAGCATCGTATAAATACCGATCGAACAAAGTAAACAACAGCTATATCGAGCACTCAGCTCGCATTATCTCTAGTATAGATACATATATTTATTTAAAACAATTTTCTCTTGATCTAAATTTTACTATTTTCTAGTTAAACGAACATAAAGGAAAGATTATTTTATTCCACGCTCGTGCGTTGAAAGATGTTCTCTCTTATTTACGTTCTCGATCGCCGTTGGTGGATCGTGCAAAGAAAACGGGGCCGGGATCGGACGAAAACAAAATTTCACGCGCCGCGCGCTTCTCTTTTTTTGGCTTTTTTTCCATTTGCTTTCGGCGAAAGTAAAACGGCGCCTGTGCGCTTTGCAGAGAAAGTAATGGATCGCGCTCTTAATGTCGGTTCACACGGAATTCAGGATGTGGACACCCGTGTGGCGCCAATCGGCTGGTACCGGACAGCACCAACGATATAAACGACAGACAGAAAGAGAGAGATAGGAGAGAGAAAAGCCAGAAGAGAAAGAGAAGAAGAGACGCGGGATACACGCGAGATCAACGCACGTGGGCTTTCACGAACAGCTGGGAAACGAAGCTACAATTATGCGTGTGGTGTGTATCTCGTTTACAGCGACGTATACAGGAGACGAGAGAAGAAACTCTCTGTACTTTCGACCATCAGCCTGCACGATAGAGTCAGACTAGTCGTAGGAAGGTGAAAGTTCGTGCGATGCAGCTTCTAGATCGCCTTTTGCATCGTTTACTTTGTGATTTTTTTGCCCCTGTCACTTTTCCTTCGATCGAGTTCGGGGAACCAACGATTTTCCCGTGATCGTTTCTTCTCATAGATCTTGTTATCTATCCGCCTTTGACATTTATACTTCTGGCTACAATCTGTAAGATCGAAACAGCAGCGAAATATATATTTTAATAGTAACATTTCGTAACAGAGGGGAAATTGATTATGATATATGCGTTTCGTTGGTAGTGAGTATCAAGATGAATAATGGCGAGGGTATTAAAATGTCGACAGCTTTCATTTTTTCTCGAAGAACCAGTGACATGGTTGTATTTTCTCCTCCTTAACAGAAATCAAAGAGCCGAGAAAAAAGAAAACGAGAAAGACAATAATTAAAATATTATCGAGTAGCAGGAGCATTAAGGCGATTAACAGGTTCGAATCTAGTCGGAAACTGGAATATGTTTTCTACCGGGTTTCACTTTTCTTGCTATTTTTTTTTCTCGCATGCCAGGCTTCTTTCGATAACGTTCATTAAGAACTTGACAATTCCTTGTAAGTCGTATTTCAGATAATTTTTATTAGTACGTAAAGCATACTGACTAGTATACTAAGGTTTCGTTTTATTGATTAGATCGGCTATAGCGACGTTCTAATTGGCATGGTAAAACTCTAATAAGATAGTAAGAGGACTCGAAGAATAAGAAGAACATGGTCGATGGCTCGTAACTTCCGGCGGAGCGGGTGGCAGCGTGAACATGAACTTCACACTGTCGTGCATGCAAGAAGTGCACTTTCACTTCTACACGACAGAGCCAATGACCTACTAACACATCGAACCATTCACTCGCTACCGCGATGCTATTCTGGCAAGGACGTTCTACATCGATTGTTCGATGCGTTCGATTATTCTTCTTGACTGAAAAATGGACGATATCCATTGAAAAATTGCATAAAGGTATTGCAACCATCCTAAAAACTCGCAATAAAATCTATCCTCAGATATTTCAACTTTAATTCCTAGATCAGCTACTAATTAATTCTCAAAGAAGTAATACGACGAATAAATTAATAATCAAGTTCGATAATTAACATCCATAAGGGTACTTAGTAATATTTATCCGATGGAATTTTATATTTATCTCTTGAATGAATCCAATACTCTTTACATCGACCGCTTCCACCCCCTTTTCTAACTCTAACCAAGATCATTCCTTTACCTTGAAATTCCTCGTCGTTCATTGACTGTCCTTCGATCAGCGGACAATGGGCCCTTCTTTTCGGGCGAGGATTTTTTAATCTATTACGAAATGGGGTGACAAGGACCGTTACGTGGTTAAATTGACCTGAACGTGGTTAAACTAGTGATTAATGCAGCTGGTACGATGTTGGCTATTGCCCAATCTCGTCTCAGGCCAATAAAACTCGTGGCGTGGCGTTTTCACTCCTTCTTAATATCCCCGATAACTGACCAACCGGAGGATGCTGCCCCGTACCATAATGAATCTCCGTGTGTACAATCCATGTGTTTGTTTCCTGTTAAGCCTCTTTTTACTTTCACCCGTTACGGAGCCAACGTGACGCAAACAACATATTTTCGTCCACTTGAAAAAGAATCCACTCGATCGGCTCCAGGAACTTGTTTTCTACTCTCCTGACGCCGGACGCGGACACGGTTTCCGGCTTTCTGAAGACGAGTAGGTCAAACGGAGAGCCAATTTCGATTCTATCACGCGATTTTAAGCTCCATCTTTCTCTCGCTTTATACAATATCTCGTGAAGGTGTTCTACCACTTGCGGAAATCTCTTATTAATATATTACGTATAATTCGCAGTAATAAAGGTCAACTATTACGATTATATCGATAAAGTTCCAAACGAACGCGAAAATGTACATAGAAAGTACAAGATATTAAATGCAAGCGTATAATTCGTAGAGAATCAAATTAATTATTTGCTTAATATTTATTATTTATGAGATATTTAACACAGATTATACAGGGTGGTTGGTAACTGGTGGTACAAGCGGAAAGGGGGCGATTCTACGCGAAAAAAGAAGTCGAAAATATGGAATAAACATTTTTCGTTCGAGGCTTTGTTTTCGAGAAAATCGACTTTGAATTTTCGCTCGGTACGCGTGCACTTTATCGCGTCTCGTTATAACGGATCTCACTGTAGATCGTTGTCTCGATGGAAAAATTTAAAAAAAGAAAAGAGAAATTTTTTGTTCTATATTTTCAACTTCTTTTTTCGCGTAGAATCACCCCCTTTCCGCTTGTGCCACCAGTTACCAACCACCCTGTATATTTACAGTGACTATTTATCCAATGAAAATCCTTTTTCGGCAAGTATTCCAATACTTTGAGTCGCGATATACTCTGCTTTAAAAACAAAATTGAAAATATTCGACGACGTTACCTTTCGAAATCAAACTCAACAATGCAACCTAGTCACGAATCATTGCGTGCACTATATAGATGCAGTTAAAATGGACTTTGGTATAAAAGGGATTCGTGTCGGGTAGAATCTGTTGAGCTGCGTGTTCCGTGGCTCGTTTACCTCACTCACGCGACGTTTCTTTTTTGATGTTTGGAAGATCAATTCTAACGAAAGATCGAACGATAAATCGAAGCAGATTGGTTAAAAAATTACTGGATCGTCGTGGAAGAAGAGAAAGGAGAATTTAATTATCTCGCGTGTCGTTATATAATTACAGCTGTTACGATCGCATCAGGATTCTCGTGCAATCGAATCGATTCTGATAGCAACTAGTCGAGACTTTTTCCCCTTCGTTTTGGAATTGAGGATTGTTTACTTTTTCGTAACGGCACGTTTTATCTTGGATCACTTTTGTTCCTTGTATTCTTTGTCCTGCTTCGAAAGATACCGTATCTGATGTTTGACAATTTACACAAGTTAATTGAAAGAGCCTATCGGCTAAATAAGTGGCGAGATAACAGGCTTACCAGTACAAGCCGTCCTATAGGAAGGAAAACAGAATTTTGACACTTTGCGCTGTAAACGAGCTCAAAGTTTTTATGGCAAATGATACTCGGAAAGGATGCTGGTTACGGCGCAAGCAAAGATTGGAAGAAAAGGCAAACAGTGGGCAAAAAATCGTTCCAAAAGAGTGACGCTATTAAACACAGGGGAAAGTGGAATATTTAAGTTGCAGGAGTCGCAAACGATTTTTCTCCATAACGAAAACCCTAAATCTTTTTGTCCGATTACCAACGCAATTTCTAATTCGATTTCTTCAGTTTTAATATATAAAACATTTGTACTATACGTTAGTTTAACAGAAATATGAATTTCCGGACAGAAAATTCTAGTGGCGAGCCAAGATTTTGAGAGCTTAAACTTAGTCACATAACTATTTTAACTTTTGGAAGTATCGTCCCTTTGGTTTTATACTTAATTAAGTTTCAACGTTATCTTCCGCTGTGATACGCTTTTATAATTAGAAAAAGTATAATGAATTTTTTATAATAATAAACCTAAACTTTTGCAGAGAGCTTATTAAATTAGTTATGATGAAATATAAAATATTGTTTGGAGCACTGCAAGTTAATATTCGACGTAACAAAAGATTTGTGATTTTGTTCCAGTCAAATGATGGGTGCAGCGAGATCGTGCCAATGGTTGCTCATAGGAATAGTCCTCATCGTATCCTCGAATCGTGCCACCAGTCAAACAGAGATCTCAGGATCGAGTCTTAGCAAGCCAAAGACGATCTTCGGTTCCAGTTACATTGAGCCGCGAAACAACAATGGGAATCGCACAGACTTAATTCTGAATTCGCCTCGCAGACGTCGATATGTTAGATTTCCAAGTGGCCCAGCCGGCTATGTTTTCGAGGGTGGTGGACCTCCTATAGGGAGGAACATCGGTGTGCCTCCTGGAGTTCGTTTTCCATCCTGGAGACAGCACAAGTCGCTATGGAGAAATCCTATTTCCGAGTACAACAGACCCGTGATGGGTCATCGAACTCCACGATTGATCTTTCGTGACAACGACATCCCACCCCCGGTGGGTGGCAGCGCATCCTCGTTTTTCCAACAGTCTAACCACTTGCCAGATTTTGAGGACGAGATCAGAGGTAAAGTACAATAATGTGACGTAAAAGGCATAAATCACATTTGTCGTATTTTATAGAAGAATTTTAAGATTCGATATGTTGTCAAGCAATTCCACGTCAAAATATTCCATTTGCATCTTTTCTACCTTCGATCGTTTCGTATTTATTTATTTATCATTTCACCATCAAGTGGCACGAGAGTCAGAAAATTAACAAAAATAGATTTATTTTATCTTTCTCGCGTGATGTTTATATTGGTAAAATATATTATATATACATATGTGCGTAAATGGCACTTGAAATTCGTGACGTCGATCTCTGGTTTGGTTGAAAGGATGGGAAAAGCTAGCATTGGCTTGATTTTTTTTTCATATCGTGTTAACTGTTTGCGGTTCTATGTTGAATTGGATTCGATATTCTATTCCGCTTGACTTTTCTATTTTTCTTTTATCTTTGATTCGACAGAAATGTCCATATAGAATAGCTACGAAATGGCTATGAATAGTTTTCATTGTTACTTTGACGGTTAAATATCTTTTATGAGAAAGATTACTTGATAATTTTTTTTTCTTTTTTTGTTAAGAGAGGAAATTGTTGTTCCAGATCATCGAAAGCAAACCCTCGACGATTACCCTAGGTTAGAATCAGGTACGTTCCCCGTGAAGCGATCAGCGTTGATCGGTGTTTCGACAGAGAGCGACGTACCGATGAGTCGTGGTCTAGTCGCACCTGTTGAAAGCCCGTTTCGCAGAACGTTTCCGGTCTTTCGCTAATCCAATGAGTGAAACCGATACCGGATTACATTACATCGCGCCTCTGAATTTCGTACTAGTCGGATAATTGTAAATTAGCCCGGGTGCAATATCCTAACCGGGTGTCGCAACGATTGTGACATCCGGACCCGTTTCCGTCGAGCCGACGATTTCCGTCATCCGCGTTGGTCGTATCGTTACGACAGAGGAGCTCGAAGGTTCTTTCCTGTTGCTTTTACGATTTCGTTAAACCACATCGCGATTGTATTAACGACGCTCCGTGAAATAAAACTTCTTTCGGTCACTTTTTAAAACGATTGCGCTCATTTTCAATCCTCTCGCGAATTGCTCAATATTTTCAGCTCGTTTCTCTTGCGAAAGTATTCTGAAGCTAGGCTTGGAGTAATCAGACCTTGCTTTGCACATATCAGAGATGTCTGGTATGAAACGTAAACGTGAAAAACGAACGAGTAACGAGGACCTTGCGTTCTTTCATTTTAATTATCCGTTTTGGAGAGACAAAAAGGGGAAAATGTCGTAGGAGAGAAAGGAGAAGAAAGAACAGTTTGCCCTGTTTTGTGCAGAGCCGCGTCAACAAAAAAGACCGCTGTGGAAGGGTGACGATACGTTGTGCGCTGACGGACGAAGCTGCGAATTTTTTCTAATGTGCTGGATGTCCGCTGGCCTTTTGGACGGCAGTTGCGGTGGCATCATGTACGCTTGTTGTCAGCGGAAAGAACCGAAAGGTAGCTCTGATTATAACCTGATTGAGGCACCTAGAGATCAATCTCAGCCGCTTCCGTTGGATACTTACACGGAGACCGCCAACGATGATCGTAAGTCCTTCCTACAGAAGCATGTCATCCGATTCTTGCACTAGCATGATCGACCACCGCTGTCTTTCTTTGGAAATGCTTCCTGAATGTCGTTATTCTTCTCTCCTATTTAAAAGACGCGTCTTTTATATCTTCTCCCTTTTTCTTGCATTACTTCACTCGGTCTTTCCTTGTTCCCATTTACATCTTTCTTCTCTATTCCGTATTTTTGTTCTTTTTAGCTTTTCTTTTTATTCTACTTGTCTATTTCTCTTTTTTGTCCTACAAATGTTACATCAGCACTTTCGTCAGCATGTCGAAATCTTCTTGACTTGTAAATCACTCGTCTCTTTAACACTTGCACTTTCCTTAGCATGTCATCGAATGCCTTCACTTTCTCTGTTTACACCTTCCAAAGCATGATAGGATGTACACCACCCGATCTAAGTCATTTTCGTCTTCCTCTTTCGATACTTGCACGTGTCGCGATCTTCCTGCCTGCCTTCCTCAGGGTGAAGTTTTCTCACCTTATTTGTCAATCGATCTTGCATGTTCATCGTGATAACAACGAGTCCGTTCCGCACTTCTTCGACGGTTCTCTTGTCACGCGAGTCCTCTGAATTTCGTATCCACTTCCGGTGTTCCTAGTTCGCGAGGAATAAGTCCTCCGTCCCCCTGAAGTACGATCTTCATCTTTAATCATCAATTTCGTCTGTACGAGTATAAAGAGAGATTTCCATAAATCTAATTAATTTACAGATTAATTACAAATAAGTGAAATTTTTCTTCCGGTCGAACCGCGTTTAAGAGGACACTTTTAATTTAACGGAACATAAGAAACAGAATCGATAGAGTCGCGATTTATTATTGCTTGGTAGTTTGATCGTCGAATGTTTCATTGAATTACTCCAAGTCTAATTCGGTAATACTAACTTGAAGATCAACGAAACGTTATCAAGTGAAAGATGTTTCCGTCGCTACGCTGCCAAAGTGTTTATACTGCATAAAATAATTAAAGGATCGTTACTATGAACGATTCTATTGCGTTAAATAAGCAAAGAGAAGATTCTATTATAATCGATAGACTGAAATATGTAATAGTTGTTCGTGTGATAGTTTTAAAAACGACGATTAAACCTAATTTATTAAATTCGCCTGTACCATAATCTGAACTAACGTATCACTGCGTTCGTTGTTAAAAGAAAGATTCGTCTTAAAAGGGTTAAGGTAATAATTAAAGCAAACGTATAAACGCAGGAAAAAGACATAAAAATCAAACTGATACGGAAAACGGTGCCCTGATTGTTTTGAGCAGTGTATTTATACATATTCCGCTACTAACTCTTCAAGAACTGTTCGTAAACGAACACTGCAAACATATTTAGATTGAAATGGAGAATCTACATCCTCGTAATTACAGGCTGCGGGATTCCCGTCTCGAAGCAAACCGCGCAAAGAAGAATCGTCGGAGGCGACGACGCAGGATTCGGCAGTTTTCCATGGCAGGTCAGATTTGCATCGACGAATCGTAGTCAATCCTTTCCAGCCTTTTGTATCGTCTTTTAAACAGAGAAAATGTTCTACTTTCTCAGGCGTATATACGAATCGGGTCCAGTCGATGCGGCGGCACTCTCGTTAATCGATTCCACGTCGTCACTGCTGGTCACTGTGTAGCTAAGTAAGTGGAATATCGAACATCTGAAGCTGTTACGACTTGCAGAATTTCTCGAAGTTCTAGAATTTCCTTAATCTATACGTGGCTCGGATTTGAAAGCCTCGATACTATGATAAAAATTCCGCAAGTACAATATCGGTCGCTATTTTCTTTCAATTGTTCTTTCGTTTTACGTTTAGGGCATCAGCTCGTCAAGTTCAAGTCACTCTAGGTGATTACGTAGTAAATTCCGCCAGCGAGACATTACCAGCTTACACCTTCGGTGTCAGAGAGATTCGCGTTCATCCTTACTTCAAGTTCACTCCTCAAGCTGACAGGTACGTTGACATTTCACGAGTGGTTCTAACAGACGCTAAAATGAAATTGCCTGTTGCTCAGGTTCGACGTGGCTGTTCTACGATTAGATCGACCGGTTCATTACATGCCTCACATAGCGCCGATCTGTTTGCCCGAGAAAAACGAGGACTTTCTAGGACAGTATGGATGGGCTGCTGGATGGGGAGCGTTACAGGCTGGTAAATACAGAAATGATTTATCTGAAACGTTACAGAGTTCGGGCTAGTGACGGTCGTGTATTGAATTCTGTTAAAATGAACAGGATCGAGGCTACGTCCCAAGACGCTACAAGCAGTAGACGTACCTGTGATAGACAATCGAATCTGTGAGAGATGGCATCGGTCCAACGGGATTAACGTTGTGATTTATGACGAGATGATGTGTGCTGGGTACCGTGGAGGTGGCAAGGACTCCTGCCAAGTGAGTTTAATTTGACGTAAAACGGGTAAAATCAGTCAAAAGCTAAAAGTTACAGATTCGTAAATTTATGTGTCAAAACGTGCAATTCGAGACAATTATTAACGAGCAAGAAACAACATTGGCTTATTGCCGTGTAAATTTAGCGAATCATAAACGGAATATTAATTTACAAATAACTTTAGCGATGAATTACATCGTCTCTATAAAACGGGTAGCAGATGCAGCTACTTACTGTCAGTGGGTATTTCTTCCCAAAGTTTCACCCATTACGCTATATCGTCTGTACATATAGTACATAATCTAGAATGTTCAAGTTGAATTTGAAAGAACCGAGTGATACTCTTTTATTGTGTAAAAGAAAAAAAGAAAAAAAAGGATTGAAAGCTTTTTGCCTATGATTTTCAGGGTGACAGTGGTGGGCCACTGATGTTGGAGAAAACAGGACGATGGTACCTAATAGGTATCGTTTCAGCGGGTTACTCGTGTGCTCAGCCAGGCCAGCCAGGAATCTATCATCGGGTAGCTAAAACGGTCGACTGGATAACCTACGTTATCAATTCGTAGCGAGACGAATCAAAAAGGGATAGAGATTGTTCTCTGTAAAAACTTTGCATGAAGCAAAGTTTACGACACGGTATTGGATAGGATCTCTGACGATTTCGTAACTGGCTGGCAAATGATCGAATGATAGATACCGAGGATCTAGGAACTGTGTAACTGGGAATTTCGACGATTCTACGCTCGAGGAATGTGAAACATTGTGATGGGATAATGTTTAAAGTCAGGAACAAAGTTGTCCGTCTTCGAGGTGGAAGAACTGTTGCTATCATGCATCGATTTCTAACATATAATTCTCTAAACGAAACGAGGTGATGCGTGGAAATTGTTTTAATTTGTAAGTCGCGCCCGGTGAACTTCCTTTCGTCGATTATCTAAGCCTTCCGAGGCAAAAAGCGTCTATATTCTTGACGTACGGTGTGAAATGTAACGATGTGGATATTTTGTAAATTAAGTGCGTGTGATATTCGTTTGTATTCGCGCTTAATAAATGTTCAGTTTTTTATTTTATCATTGTCTATCCATTTCTTTTTGTGCGTTTTAACGGATGGGACGAAAGAACAAGGCTTTTACATTAAAAACATACTTTGTTATTGGACAACCGCTATAATTCAACGCAAGCTTGGCGTTGCAAATGATAGAATAACGCGCTTAAGTATATATTTTTCATTGCGTATATAAGTACACATTTATCTCGTTATTCGGTTTAACAGTAAGTATCTGCGACAACGAGCATAGAATTTCTGCATTTGCAGATCGCAGGACGTCGGCTCTCCAAGTTCTATTAAATAAGATTATCGTGGGATAAACTACGGTATAGTTACAATTTTCCCATCTTCACACCAACAAAAAAGTACACTAACTTCCCGCTTTCACGACGAAATTTCATTATTTTTATACAAATAACTTTTTGTTCTACTAACGTCGATATCGCGTCGAGCGTCGTTTTAGGTTGTCCAATATTTTCAAGAACTGCCTGACTATTATACAGAAAAAAGAAAAAAGCTCGTCGTGAAAACGGGAATATAATCAATTCCCTATAGTTTCCTAGTTTAGAAAATTCATTAGCATTCGCAACCATCTATACATCTTGTCACACAAAGCGCGTGATCCATGTATTATATTATCTTTAATTAATTTTTTAAGTATATCTTTGAAACCGCAGTGAAAAAAGACGGCGTCTAAACGCAAAAGAGATCCCAAAAAAAAAAAAAAAAAAAAAAAAAAAAAAAA